GAAGTTGTCTTTTGAAGTTGGAAGATATAACACCATGTGCAAGTGGAATCGGCGTTTTGGCCATTGTGTTGGCTTCTAAGGACGTAATTTACGGTATTTACGCCAGTTTTACTTATTTTAACGTTGAGCCGTGCTTGTATTTCCTTTTTCTTCCGTTTTGGTTGATTTCCCCTTCTATAGCACGATCCGTTAAGCTGACCCGTTTTTGGCCAAATTTTTTTGGCCAAAAAGGCGGACGTCTTTATATATTATGCATAAATTTGCGTTAAAATCACTGTATTACACTCATGCAGGGCTGGGAAATACCTAGGTAAAAAGTACCTAGGAACTGTACCTGTACTTTTTTGGTACATATAACTGTACCTAGGTACTCAAGTCACAATTGTAACTGTTCCTGTACCTAGGTACTCAAGTCACAATTGTAACTGTACCTGTACCTAGGTACATTTTGGGCAGTAACTTTACCTAGAACTGCAGGTACTTTTACAGGTACTTTTGGGCGCGAATGTAGGGAAAGACGGGTATAATGAGATGCGCTCACAACAGTGCGGGGATAAAGAGAGACACTCAGAGGACTGCCTGTTTTCGGGGAAGAAACAGATATTCGGCCCCCTCCCCTTTTTATGTGCCTCCTCCGGGTTCCATGTGGCAGGTCTGGTCACCGCACGCACTGCCAAGGTGAACGCAGAGGACTTGCACTATGAAACAATGGACACATCTCAGCGGGGATCATAGGGTTTGTCCCTAAAATGCGTTACCGGAACCATCCCATTATAGCAGCGAGGTTAAGGATGGTCCCTGGAGCCGCCGGCGATGCGGCGTGACGAATCGGGGTTGTAAACAGCACGCACGTTGGCATGAAAAGGGTCATTGACGCAAGAAAGTTTAAAGGGACGAAAAACTCGCGCGAGGTTTGTTTTGGTTGCGTTACTGGGCGGATGTGTTGAAATATCAAAATATCTGAAAGTACCTGAAAAGTACCTAGGTATTTTGCCAAAGTACCTGTAACTGTACCTAGGTACTGAGCTCGATCAAGTACCTGTAACTGTACCTTGGTACTTTTTTGATCCAGTATCTGTATCTGTACCTAGGTAACAAGGTAGGTTTACGCCAGACCGCGTCTTGTCGTAACAGGCTTCGCGATGTCTCGCTGCCTGTTCCTCCAATCCACGCCTGGCGTACCTACCTTGGCCTGCGGCGCTAGCCTGCCTGCGGCAGGCAATGGCTTGTCCATTGTCGGTTATTTTTTAACTTGTTGAATGCTGGGGGGCTCCGCCCCCCAGACCCCCCTATATTCTGAATAGAGTTGTCTTATCTGCAGATAACACGATCTTGACGCTTGTCACTTTTTAACTTGTCGAGGCTGGGGGGCTCCGCCCCCCAGACCCCCCTTTCTCCAAGCCAGAAGTGATCTATCTGCAGAAAGCTCTATTTTTCGCCGTTTTTAGGTGTTTTTCGGCTATAAAAACTGAACCAGTTGAGCTAGGATGGTGAAATTTCGCGTGTGCCGAGCCAAGGACATACCCAAGAAGTGTGCAAAATCTCACCGAGATCGGCCGAGCCGTTCAGGAGGAGTAGTGCGGACACACACACAGACAGACAGACAGACAAAACTTTTCAACCCCACTGAAGTAACAGGCTTCGCTATCGCTCAGCCAAAAATATAAAGTATCTGTCCCAGCCCTGCACTCATGTAACTGGGCAAAAACCGTCAAAAGACAACAACACACTGCTTATGGGGTAAAATTCAAGGGGATTGACACGACCTGAACCTCATGTCGTCAGAACTTGATGAAAGTTGGCTCAAATGTTACCCCCATAGGGGTAAGTAAGCCCACAAAATTTGAACCCTCTAGCTCAACTAACATGGGCGCAGTGAGCAATCTAATTTTCGCCTGAAATTCATTTTCACCTTTTTCAGCAAAATGCACATTTTTGGAAAAGTCGTCGCGCTGGCCGCCCCGACGGCCTTTCCTCCGTCTAATCGACGTTCCTAGACTCAAAATTGTCTGGGGAATCCGAATCTGGCGTCGGTTTTCCGCTAGCGTTCCGATAAAATTCCGAAAATGGCACTTTTTTACGGAAATTTAGTTATTTCAGGGGTTTACGCAACAGGCCGTATCCACTAGCCCCCAATCCAAACATGCCCGTTTCAACTTTTTTTTCAGTTAGGGGACACCATAAGCTTAATTTTAAGTTGGGCCCCGATATTGTGTATGGGTCTCGTTTAGGAGCTAGCCCTATGCCCAACTTTTGACTTTTTCCCTAAAATTTGTTTTTCTGTGAAACCTTTAAAAAGGCATGCCATCCTCAAAAATCGTCCTAGGCGGCCAATAAAGTAATCTAACGGACGCAGAATTTCCCGAGGATCACGATGCTGCACGTGCATTTGAGTTTTGGGGCCTCAAACACAGTCAAAACTCCAAAAAACAACAAATTTATGTCAAATGCCACAAAATGTTGAACGGCAATTTCGACCCTTTTCCCCGTCGCAAGGCCGCTTTGCCGTTGCCTAATCGGACTCCTTGGAGTTTCCACTTTGAGAATAAGCAGGAAAGAGTCAGCAGCCCAGCGGCGGCCAACGTGTGGCCGCCGCCACACTGGAAACTGCGGACTTCCCCGTAAGGACGAGGCACCGCGCCGCCCAGGTAGGCAACCAGTTTGACGCACCCCTCGGCCACGGGCGGTGGAGGTCGTACGCGCCGCCCGGGTAGGCAACCAGTCTGACGCGCTAGGCCCGAGATTTTGTGGGGGTGGGGTGGGGGAGGGGAAGGGACGGTAGCGGGGGGTGGGGGTGGAGGGTGAGACAACCGTGGACTGTTAGTGTTGTTAGTGTGTTGTTGTTGGTGGTGGTGTATTGTGTTTTTGTGGCTGCTGCTTTGTTGTTGATCGCTTTTCGGCTTGAGGCCATAAGAAAGGAACTCTCTCTGTGTGCGTTCGGGCTCGCCTGTTCATCCCGTTGAAGGTTTTATCTACATATCGGTTCAGGATGCGGAAGCCGGTAGGGGGTATTTTGTTCCACCTTGATAAATGTACTAGTTCTTTTAACCTCAACTGAAGTTAAATCCTCATATGTTTCTTTTCAGGCGAGCCCGAACGCACACAGAGAGAGCTCCTTTCTTATGGCCTCAAGCCGAAAAGTGATAACCTACATAGCAGCAGCCACAAAAACACAATACACCACCACCACCAACAACAACACACTAACAACACTAACAGTCGACGGTTGTCTCACACCCCCCGCTACCGTCCCTTCCCCTCCCCCTCCCCACCCCCACTTAATCTCGGGCCTAGCGCGTCAGACTGGTTGCCTACCCGGGCGGCGCGTGCGACCTCCACCGCCTGTGGCCGAGGGGTGCGTCAAACTGGTTTCCTACCTGGGCGGCGCGGTGCCTCGTCCTTACGGGGAAGTCCGCAGTTTCCAGTGTGGCGGCGGCCACACGTTGGCCGCCGCTGGGCTGCTGACTCTTTCCTGCTTATTCTCAAAGTGGAAACTCCAAGGAGTCCGATTAGGCAACGGCAAAGCGGCCTTGCGACGGGGAAAAGGGTCGAAATTGCCGTTCAACATTTTGTGGCATTTGACATAAATTTGTTGTTTTTTGGAGTTTTGACTGTGTTTGAGGCCCCAAAACTCAAATGCACGTGCAGCATCGTGATCCTCGGGAAATTCTGCGTCCGTTAGACTACTTTATTGGCCGCCTAGGACGATTTTTGAGGATGGCATGCCTTTTTAAAGGTTTCACAGAAAAACAAATTTTAGGGAAAAAGTCAAAAGTTGGGCATAGGGCTAGCTCCTAAACGAGACCCATACACAATATCGGGGCCCAACTTAAAATTTAGCTTATGGTGTCCCCTAACTGAAAACAAGTTGAAACGGGCATGTTTGGATTGGGGGCTAGTGGATACGGCCTGTCGCGTAAACCCCTGAAATAACTAAATTTCCGTAAAAAAGTGCCATTTTCGGAATTTTATCGGAATGCTAGCGGAAAACCGACGCCAGATTCGGATTCCCCAGACAATTTTGAGTCTAGGAACGTCGATCAGGCGGAAGAAAGGCCGTCGGGGCGGCCAGCGCGACGATTTTTCCAAAAATGTGCATTTTGCTGAAAAAGGTGAAAATGAATTTCAGGCGAAAATTAGATTGCTCACTGCGCCCATGTTAGTTGAGCTAGAGGGTTCAAATTTTGTGGGCTTACTTACCCCTATAGGGGTAACATTTGAGCCAACTTTCATCAAGTTCTGACGACATGAGGTTCAGGTCGTGTCAATCCCCTTGAATTTCACCCTTATCCAAGTGTGGACCAGGTCCACGCTAGGTAGCGTAGACCACGATGGTCCACGCTAGCAATCGTGGACCACGAATGGTTCACGCTAGGGAACGTGGACCACGAATGGTCCAGGCTACACTGTGGCAAAAAGGTACGGAAAATTCTGTTAATTTTTTTGCCAGGATTCTCCGTAGCCCTCTTATCAACATTCTCCGTAGGCTCTTACAGTATTCTCCGTAGGACCGCACAGTGTTCTCCGTAGGACCGCACAGTATTCTCCGTAGGACCTGGAAGACTGTATAGTCCCACGGAGATCACTGTAAGGTCCTACGGAAAATACTGTAAGAGCCTACGGAGAACATTGACAAGGGGGCTACGGAGAATTACCACAAGCTGTTTACAGAATTTTCCGTAGCTTTTCGCCACAGTGTGGGAAGAACTAAACTTCCTACCGTGGACCATTCGTGGGTCACGCTTCCTAGCGTGGACCATTCGTGGCCCACGTTTTCTAGCGTGGACCACCGTGGTCCACGCTACGTAGCGTGGACTTCGGTGGACTTGGTCCACACTTGGATTAGCTAGCAGTGCAAACACTTGATGTATATTTAACGCGACAATTTTTATTTGCTGCCACAGATGCGACAATTTAAAGGAATCAGATTAGCCTTTCTACCACTGCTTGTTGCATGTAATAAATTTACACACAAGGTAAAGCAGAGTAGCAGCACTCACCAGTGAACTGCACGGGCATGTCGGCGGACCAGACGTAAGGCCTGACCCTGAGCGTGCCGTAGTCCGCCTCCACGGGGACCTCCGCCGCGTCTTCCGGCCGGCCCTGCGGCCACACGGCGAGCCGCCCGGGCCGGTGCTGCGCCTCCAGCACCACCTCGCCGAAGACGAAGTTGTGCGGGCCTGAAATGTGGGCCTGCATGGGGGGCATACGGTGAGACACATCAGCACCTATCTGAGCCAAAAGAACCCGACCACTCCGGCCGGCTCTGCCTAGACATCGAGGGGTCCTATTCAAAAGATCTTATCTGGGCGTTCCCCCCAAGACAATCTTATCTTAAACGCAGGTGAATTTCACATAGTTTGATCGCTTGGTACAGCTACCTATCAACATAATTTGTGAATTTGTTCAAGTAAATCTTAAGATGGAAGATCATAGAAACCAAAAGTGCATGTAGAAATTTGTTTCGCTTACTGTCGTATTTATTCTGATTGATCAAAATGAGTGAAATTTGCCGGCGTTTCAGATAAGATTGTCTTGGGGGGAACGTCCAGATAAGATCTTTTGAATAGGACCTGCCCGGGGGTTTCTGGTCTCAGCGTCTAAACCGTCCAATTAAGAGAGGTATAATAAGCGATGGGCTCGCTTACTTTACCCCTGTAAATTGAAATATTTAGACGCTGTGACCAGAAAACCCTTGCCGGAGCCGGCCGGAGTGGTCGGGATCTTTTGGCTCATATCAGCCATTTTCAGAAAACTCCGTTGACACTGAACTGCTCCGTAGTGTTTTTGTGCATAAGCTTTTGCATAAAGTTGACCAACGGCAACGCGACGCTCACGTAGGAGCGTGCTCGTGAATACAAGCAGAACAGTGTCTCTTATTGAGCGTAATGTTGAGTTTGCAGGGACGTGCGAGCATAACTTTCATTCCAAGTTTACCGTCGTTTCATGTTGTAAGGGTGCTGAAGACGAAAATAACATCATCCACTTTGACCTTTGACCCAGGTTCAAATACCGCGACAGTAAAACATGAAAGAACTAGCAAAATTTAAATAATAAGAGATGGATCAAAGTTCGAGGGGTCCTATACAAAAGATCTTATCTGGGCGTTCCCCCAAGAGAATCTTATCTTATACGCAAGTGAATTTTACTTGGTTGGATCATTTAATACAGCTACTAATCAATATAATTTGTGATAAAGTTCACTTAAAACTGAAAATGAAAGATCAAAGAAACGAATCGTGCATGTAGAAATATATTCCACTTACTCTCGTTTCCGTCCGAAATGATCAAAGTGAGTGAAGTTCGCATGAGTTTAGGATGATTCTCTAAGGGGGAACGCCCAGACAAGATGTTTTGAATAGTACCCATCGAGTTGCTTATTTGTACCGTAGCCTTTCCTGTCGTTATGCCTTTGTATCCCCGGTGCCGGACGGGCGGCTGCCCGAGACCAAGGGGAAACAACTCCAGTCAAACTTGTACACCAAAATTCATCAAACATGTAAAATTCACTGAAAATCACTGACATTTATCGCAATTTGACTGAGATTCATCAAAATTCAAGTGAAATTCGACTGCAATTCATCGAAATTTGACTGAAATTTATCAAAATTTGACTGAAATTCATCAAAATTTGACTAAAATTCATTGAAATTCGACTAAAATTCATCGTATATGTACACCGAAATACACAGTGATTTCCCCTTGCCCGAGACACTCACCTCGAGGATGTTGGTGCAGTCCCTGCCGAGGCGGTTGCAGGACGCGGTCGCCTCGTACGCCAGCGTGCCGTCGGGCCTCTCGCCGTGCAGCATCAGGGTGCTGCAGTTCCGGGCGCCGCACAGGTGCAGCTCGACGTAGCGATGCAACCGTGCAAACTGCACGCGCACCGTCACCGAAGCGTTTGGCGGCAGGGCCACCGTGTGAGCTGCGCACAAACCTCAGACATTCAACCTTTGAAAACTTATTTAGCAGAACTCGAGGGGTCCATTTCAAATGATATCTGGGCGTTCTCCCCCAGAGAATCTTATCTTAAAAGCAGGCATATTTTACTCTTTTTGAACATTTGGGAGGGATACGAGTTGAAACGGAATAAATTTCTACGTGAGCGATTCTCACGTTTCGGGGTAGTTTTGGCGTCTCTGACTTGCCGAAAGTGAGAAATATCCAATTAAGTTTTTCTGATTATTGGGGTCCTGGATGATACTAGAGTTATGGCAATGGTATTCATAGTAAAGACCTTGTACTACCTTACTAAAAACATGAGCCATAAGGTATTCCCATACATTTTAGTGGGTGTTTTGATCACGGAAATTACGTTATCACGGAAGTTACAAAGTGAGAAAATCGGCTTTAACGGCTGACTCGGGCTTGCTGTGGCTTATAAGTCGTTCCAGGGTCAAATGATAGTCTAAGCCCGACATTTCTGCGGAAAATTTTTCACCTAGTGCTGCTGCAACATTGGGTAAAGGGTGCCACGGAAGTTACAGGTAATTGTTGATACACGCCATTTTATAATGCTCTAGCCCGCTTTGAGACCGTGTACAGCTTCTTAGATTTCCGCGACCCATGCAATTATATCCCAGGGACTCCACTTTGATGGCTTGTGTCATGGAAAGTGAAAAGTTTGGCTTGGGGAGAAGTCCAGAGCTGCCTTTCCGAAATAAGTGTAGTGAAATTGAATACACGGTGGACATTTTTCGTTGCAGCATTAGTACCTTTGAAAGAAGTCTGGCTTATTGAGCTTCGGTTGAGTACCTTTGAAAGAAGTCTGGCGTATTGGTCTTCGGTTAATATTAGCTCGAGACATGTCAAGCTTCGAATCCCCATCGATAGTTGGCAGCATTTTCGAACCACACCGCCACACTGGCGGCGGAAAGTTCGAGTATGTTCTCTTTGGACAATCACGGAAGTTACATTTAGGGTATTCCAAACGCTACCTAGACCAATCCAACGAACGTGAACTTTTCGAAATGTGTGCGTTTAGTGGGCAATGGCCCTCCCTAACATCAGAAACAAACCCCATGTCGATATCTGCGCTCGTTTGGGCACAGGAGTCAGAAGAAACGAAACTACCCCGGAACGTGAGAATCGCTGACATGCACTTTTGGCCTCTCATTCATCTTTTATCTCCTAGTTCAAGTGAATTTTGTCTCAAATTATGTTGATTACGTTGATGTAGCTGTATCAAATGATCAAACTAAGTGAAATCCGCCTGCGTTTCAGATAAGATTTTCCTTGGGGAGAACGCCCAGATAAGATTTATTTAAATAGGACCCCTCGAATAACACTGCCATTCGAAATGTGATGGACATTGCACGGTAGGGGCGGTCGTGGTGAAGCCAATGCTGACTATGAAAGTTCTCTACATCAGAAAAGTTCGACAATCACACAGTAAATTGAAATAGCAGAATCTGTAATGGTCTGAGAGCCCCGAATCGCATAAACCTTTAGGTAAATAGATCCGAGGCAGTTTAGCACCAAATCCGCCAGCGGCAAACCCATTCTGCGCACAGGCGAATGAATCCGTGCACTCGCCACGGAATCCGGACAACACTGCACCGTAATCGTCAATTGCGAATCGCTCCACATCGCGCCTTTAGGATGTAATATTATTGGAAATAAAGAGTGTAGATGTACCGCGTAAGTAAAATATAGTTTTATAGACTTGTCAAAGCAAGAAATAGTATGCACACTCATCAAAATATGTAAATAAGGTCGAAAACAACAAAAGCATCCAGAGACACAGTGAGGTTAGGTTGGCCAGCGAGACCGTCACCCTCTAGCAGTATCTGTGAGCCCATCCCAGTTTCTGTGGAGGCCTTGTCCGGCCCATGCCAGTTTCTGTGACCACCAAATTCAGAATCATTTACTGGCGAGCGATTCTCACGTTTCGGGGTAGTTTCGTTTCTTCTGACTCCTGTGCCCAAACGAGCGCAGATATCGACATGGGGTTTGTTTCTGATGTTAGGGAGGGCCATTGCCCACTAAACGCACACATTTCGAAAAGTTCACGTTCGTTGGATTGGTCTACACGAACTTTCCACCCCCAGTGTGGCGGTGTGGTTCGAAAATGCTGCCAACTGTCGATGGGGATTCGAAGCTTGGCATGTCTCGAGCTAATTTCAACCGAAGACCAATACGCCAGACTTCTTTCAAAGGTACTTATGCTGCAACGAAAAATGTCCTCCGTATATTCAATTTCACTACACAAATTTCGAAAAGGCAGCTCTGGACTTCTCCCCAAGCCAAACTTTTAACTTTCCATGACACAAGCCATCACAGTGGAGTCCCTGGGATATAATTGCATGGGTCGCGGAAATCTAAGATGCTGTACACGGTCTCAAAGCGGGCTAGAGCATTATAAAATGGCGTGTATCAACAATTACCTGTAACTTCCGTGGCACCCTTTACCCAATGTTGCAGCAGCACTAGGTGAAAAAAATTTCCGCTTAAATGTCGGGCTTAGAGTATCATTTAACCCTGGAACGACTTTTAAGCCACAGCAAGCCCGAGTCAGCCGTTAAAGCCGATTGTCACACTTTGTAACTTCCGTGATAACGTAATTTCCGTGATCAAAACACCCACTAAAACGTATGGGAATACCTTATGGCTCATGTTTTTAGTAAGGTAGTACAAGGTCTTTACTATGAATACCATTGCCATAACTCTAGTATCATCCAGGACCCCAATAATCAGAAAAACTTAATTGGATATTTCTCACTTTCGGCAAATCAGAGACGCCAAAACTACCCCGAAACGGGAGAATCGCTCTGGCGGTTTCTGTGCCGAACCGTTACGAATTCTGTCATTTCAATTTACTGTGCAAGTAAGTCACAGGAACGTAAAGAAACATGTGAAAAATGGCTACTTTGCGATTATTGAGGACATATGCCAATGCTTAGCATGAAGTAATACGGCGCCAAGCGTGCGTCTGTAAGTGTGGTCTTGGCCAAGCATGCATTTGTAAGTGTGCTCTAAATAGACAGTTGGTTAGGTTGGTAGTGTAATCCAGAGTGATGCATTTTGGATGTCCCTTGATGTCATGGTCTCAAACTTTTGAGCTGGAGTCAACGTTTTAACTCAGTACGTTCTTAGTGTCTTACAAAGAAATTTCGCATAACAGGAAGGAAATGGTGCATTGGTGCAAGTTTGATACCAGGTGTTCTTCGCATTATAATGGTTTTTCCTTGTATCTTACACTGACTCTGTGACTTCGTGCCGTTCCAGGTCACGCCGACAAAAAGCATGAGACGTGAGTGACATAAAATTTCGTTGTGACTTCTCTGAAATGATTTTCCCTGTTGTAAGCACCTAGCCCTATGGTGCATTTGTGTCAAAAATCGGAGCGACTGTAAGTCACGCAATTTTTCTTTGACGTCACTTTTTTGTGACGTCCCTCCGGGACAAGAGTTGTGTGCTCCCGAGCATTCGGCGTCTCTGTGGCCGCAAGGTTGGTGGCGCACTCACCATCGCAGCCTTCCTCGTCGGAGCCGTCGCCACAGTCCTCTTCGCCGCTGCACCTCCGCTGCCCAGGAACACAGCCACCGATGAACCCGCTGCCGTCCTTGCACTTGAAGAGATCCGACGCCCCGCAGTCGCCGGCCGTCACTGCAACTCCAAGCGAAAGGCATGAGGGGGTTGCGATGCAAAGGCAGGCCGTCGACGGTGTCCGAGGCCCAGCCTAGCCGCGGCGGGCTCTCTTAGCACTCAGGTGCACGTCGATGACAGCCGCGATGTTGCAGAGAGGCGGGGCGCAGGGGGAGAGGGGCACAGGCTGGGGCATGGGGAGGGTAAGCGGTTTGAAGCGGTGAAGGCAGTTCGTAGGGGTCGTTGAGGTACATAGGTACTATAATTCAACATTCAACTATGCTAAGGCAAACTTCAGATTTTTATTTCTTTCGCAGATTCTTGCGTTTTATTACTGCAATAAGACGAATTCTCTGGACTTTACAGTAGCAATGCTGTAGGAGTTGTTTGGCATCTCTTGCATATAGCAACTGTGCAAGGGGAGGGGAGGGAGAGAGAGAGAGAGAGAGAGAGAGAGAGAGAGAGAGAGAGAGAGAGAGAGAGAGAGAGAGTGAGAGAGAGACTGCCATATCTGGCCGACCGAAGTGGCCCGAGCGCCTGTGCAATAGGCAAGGCCGGTCGGCGCACGGGCGAGCCAGTTGGGTTGCCTACCCCAAATTACCATTACCATTAAGGGCCAGACCACACATGATCGTATGCCATTCCAGGCGTTCTCAGCTCTCATTTTTCGTGGATCCAGGAGACTTGTTCGAACAATATCGATTGCATTGTTCAAATGGGGAACCTTAAATATTCAACTAAGGCCGAAAAGCGGTCTCTGAACAAGGCTAGCCATGCCGCGTGGAGCCTGTAACAAGAAAAATCCCCCGCGTGCACTTTGGCCAAAAACAGAATTTGACCTATTTTTACGAATTTTCAAGTCGCTGCAGCTCCGAAACTAGACCCACATCCAACAATTCCGAGATCGTAATGTGTTTGGGCATGGTATGGGCTTCAATTTTCGCTATTCGGTTTGGATTTTCACGATATGGGCATGGCCCGGAAAACTCACTAAAAAATTGGTCCAAAAAATAAAAAAATTTCTGCGATTTTTCACATTTTTTATCACCTTTACTAAGTCGCATCTCAAATCCAAGTACATTTTCTGAATCCTCACAGTATTCCCTTCCAGAAACCGTGCTGGGAATCATCGTAGCTTGAATAGTGAGGCAGTTATCGGCCATTACGTGAAAAAGTGCGAATTTCCTCAAACCACTTAAATGTAGTTTTGACTAAAACTTTGAGGGCGCTTTTCTCAGGAACTAGGGTCAGGGCGGGAGGGGAAGAACTGGACACTCCACATTTTACTTCAAATGCCGTATGTACTGGCCTGACAACTGTCGTGTAATGAACCGCTCATGCCACGGAACAACTTTTGATAGTTGTTATTCCTGTGCCTACGGTATTTGAAGAAAAATATGGGGTGTCCAGTTCTTCCCCTGTCCAGTTCTTCCCCGCCCTGACCCTACTGGACCGATCTGGCTGAGATTTGGCACAGAATTTTTTTTTGATGATTTCTACCTACAAAAAAAAAATTGTCGTTATCCGTAATGGTGACCTGCAAAAGTGGCCGATTCGAGATGGAATGCCTATAAGGCAACTTCAGGTTTGATAACGGAAAATCAGCAGCTAATCACGAGCTTTGAGAAAACACCGCTTTTCACGTGATGTGCAGTTAGGATAGTTCTGAATTGACACGAAAAGTTAGGATTGTCTTGGATCTGCTCTGACAGGATTGTCTTGAATCTACCCTGGCAGTTATGAATTTTCTGTAAGGACTCGTCGAGTGATCACAAGTACCCTTTTCCCAAAGTGTGGCAGTCTGGAGAATGGCCTACCTAGCGAGACGGCGGCCAGAAGGCCCAGCAGAATCAGAAACTTGGTCTCCATACTGCGAAGAAAGCGCGAGCACTACTGACCGGCGGCTGCGTTGTGGCAAGCCGACCCCACTGGGCTGGCTGTGATAACAGGGTTAAGGTCATGAATCGTGGCAGCAAAGAAGAACTAGAGCGAAGTACCGATCAAAAGATAACAATTTTTGATGAATTGGGACACAAAATTTGCTAACGGACAATACTTCGTCAGATTTTGTAAGATTTCGACCAGGGGGTGGCAACGGCCTAGGGATACCGTGAAGCGGTGCTCGCGCCGTCAGTGCAGAGATTGCGCACTTGTTCGAGATCATGAAAACTAGACAATGTTTTTCAAAACGATTTGCACCGATGGAAAGGGCTTGAAATTTAGGGTGCATTAGGCTAATTGCTCTTCTCGAAACTCCCCCCTGACTTTATAGCAAGGTGCAGTAAAAACACCGAAAAACACGAGAAATCATAAAATTCAGGAAAAACTCGAATGCGCCATGTTGATTTAAATGATTCCGCCTTTGTGTTCGGTTGAATTGGAAGTATCGGGCAGTCTACTAGGCCTAGTGCACGTTAAATTTTGTGCACTTTTGATCTGCGCAAAGCGTTTTGCAATCAACGGGCTGGATCTTCCAATCGAAGCAAAATACATAAGTAACCCCTGCACCTTCCTCGCGCATGGCTTCACGCGCTTCCTAGGCCGTTGCCGCCCCCTGTTCCAACCTGTTCCAAGACCAAAATATTCTTGTTTTGGCGGCCCGGTAGGAGTGCCGTGTTAGTCAGCTCTCAAGGTAAGGTTGGGTTTAGTGCTAGAATAGCTAGGTCTAGGACTCGGCCCCGTAGTGACTGTACGAACTGAACCACCGCATACAATCATACCTAATCATACCTAATCATACCAATCATACCTAATCATACCTAACCTAACCTAACCCTTCGAATTATAGATTGGAAGTCACTTACATCTTTGGCGTTTGTGTTTCTCGAGTAGTTCCCCCATTCTTGAACTCTGACACGCTTTCACCATTTGCACGTCAAGAACCCGCGGCAACGAGGCTAGCCCTCACAACATTAACCCCTCCTGGAGTGCTGGATCCGCCTCTGGCGGCTGTTTTCGGCGTTCAATTTTGTCATAAATGAGTTTCTTCCCCCTCCAACCCTCCCCAAAAGAAGAAAGAAAACAACCTGCCACAAATTTGAGACGATCGGCACGTATTTCGCGTGGCCCAAGCGGCGTGGGCAGGATCACTGGCAACTGAAGGAGGCAGATTCCAGACCTAAAGGGCAAGCCATTTGCCAACACCTCATGGATTTGGACCAAACTTGGTATACCTATACCTTTTGAGTCAAAAAAATTTTTGGTGAAAAAATTTTTTTTTTTGAAATTTTTTTTTGTCGTTAAAAATAAAAAAATGTTTCTAGACAATTTGACGTCATCACCAAAATTGCTCAAAATTTCACCAAAGACTCATCATTATGTTCTCTTTTCACCTGCCAAGTGCCAATACGGTTAACTTAATACTTTGGGAGATATTAAAGTTTACGAGTCCAAAAGCGACCAACCCGTTAATGATTTTCACCTAGATTTGCTTCTATTCTAGTCAGCAGTCATATTCCGACTAAAGTAATGCTTCGTCTTGAAAAATTTAGAACCAGACTTGATAGTTACACTCAGAATGATGCAATTTAAGGCCACATAAGGAATATTCAGTGATATTTAGTCTTTTTTATGTTTAATAATTCAATTATTTTTATTGCTGTTGGTCAGAATTTTATCATATACTTCTAGATATTACAATTAATACAATAAAATCAATTTTTTGCAGTTGGTGAACATTGATGTACGACCAGGCAGAATAACAGCAGGTTGGCTCTGTTAAACAGAAACAAAACTAATTAATTTTATTCACCAATTTTATGTCAACAGATATTTTCATAGAGATATGAGCCTTACCAGAGAGATTTACATTGCCTCTTTCCGCACTGTAGCAATCACTCCAAATTCTTTTGCAGAATATTCTTTCAGTTCCACTTGGTATTTTGAAATGGGCTTGAAATGGTGCATTTTCATGATTGATGGAACTTTCAAGGCACCAGAGAACCTTTTATCCAAGAAATCCATTTCATTACTTACTTCCTGATCTGACACAAATGCTACAGTCACTTTGGAGTCCTCAGGTAAATTCCATCGCTCATTGGCCCAAGTGAACATCTCCTGTGCATTGCGAATCAGTTCGCCTTGTAAACTTGCTCGACTAGCTGAACGCTTGATGGCTCCACCTAAACTGTCGCATAGTGTCTTGCCATGAGATGTTTCAAAACAGTTCCACACTGCTGTTATTTTGAAGTCCTCTTCATGGTGTAAAAGGTTGGCCACATTTTTGAAATTTCTATACTGTGAAGTTGGGCTGTCAGAAAAGTAATTTATGTGTGTCAAGTCAGGCAGCCTCTTCTTCAAGAAAGAAATTAAAGACTTCTGAAAGGTGTAGATGGTGGGAACAGTATGCTTTAAACAATCAGATATCACCACATAGTTGATGTGCCTCACTTCATTTTGCTCTTTGTCAAAATGGTAAATTATAAAGGGATGAATGGTGCACTCTTTTTGTCCAAAATAGTAGCTCTGTACAGAATCTTGAATCATGAATCTGTAATTTTCTGCGAAGTCCATTAAAACAACAGCCTCACCTTCTTTCAACGAACATTTAGTTTCTCGCAGGAACTTGGCCTGTGACTTTGCCAGAAAATCATGTAAATTTACTTCTTTCATGAGATTGAGGAACTCTTCAACAAAATCTTCTTTATCTTTGGTTACTGTTTCAAGCTGGCTTCTTTTATCTTTCCTGTTCCATGAATTGTATGTTACAGTTTCTGTTTCTTCATCCTGAAGGCTGCCTTCCAATAGTTCTTTGAGGGGTTGAAGACCTGGGCAATTTTTACATCTCCCCAACACACAAGAGAATGTAACATCTGAGCATCGTATCAACTTTAGGCATTCTGGATATCCTTTTACTTCCACTTCATCAATTTTGGTGAACTGTCTCAACATAGACGCATTAATCATAAGCTCTATGTTTTTATGGCATTCACAGACACACTGAGTGTGTGTGCCTGGGGCCCCTGCCAACAGGCAGTATTTGGGACGCAACTCTGCAAACTTACTAAATGATATCTTGTATT